ACTGTGCCAGCATCATGATCCTGGACTAACAAGCCTACAAAACTGCAAGCAATCAATGATTGTTGTTTAAGAAATCAATGATTGCTATTTAAGGTAGGTTTGTTGTAACAGCTCAAATTAAGAAAATGAAAAAGTTATATAGGGGGGAGGGAATAGGGAAGGAAACAGTGTTTAAGAATTTATCTTAATCTTCCCTTATAAGAAGTCAATACATACCTAAAAATGAAAAATCAAGAAATCCCATCAAAAGCCAATTATTTAAAAATATAGAATACCAAAAGAAATATTTAAATGGAATGAAATGACTGCTTCTGGAGAGCAGGAATCAAGACTCAGGAACATGAGGGCAGGAGGCTGCTGTTTTCCATTATAAACCTAAATTCTCTTTTACTTTCAACAAATTAAAAGGCCAATTTAAAATGCTAAAATTTTAAATAAAGAAATAAAGACAATCCCACATGCATCTAGGCAGAAAAGACACTTTAAAAAAAGGAAAATAAAAACATAATGATCTCAAAATTCTCTGGGAGACTATAATTTCTAAAGATGGCCACAAAAATTATTTCTCAGATATATTATTCTGAGATGTGACTTTGCTGGTATTCTCTCAAGAGATGAAATCTATTCTCCCCTCAAAAAGATCTGGGCAAGACGTGTGACTGCTCTGACCAACAGGATACAGAGCGACAGTATGACAGTTCCGGATATAACCCTTAGGTAGCCTAGCAGATTGCTGCCTCTTTGCTATGTAAAAATTCTATCCTGCTCTGCTGATGAGGCCAAGTGGAGGAGCAATGAGGTGCCAGACATGTGAGTGAAAAAGTCATCCTGGACATCAGGCTTCCAAACCTTCTATTTCTTACACAGCAGTAGATAAACAGAATACCTTCAAAGCAACTAGAAATGTTAAAAGACAATGCAGCAGTCAATACCCACAAGGGTCAGGAAGGAAAAGGATATGACCTAAGGATTCTCTACCCAGCCAAGATGCAATTCATTCGTTAATAAATAAAGAAGTAATATAAAAAGGGCTCATCTTTTTTAAAAAGTTGGGGGGGAGGCGGAGAAAATGAACCTAGGAAAAGCAAAAGAAAAGAACAATTCTAACTCATGAAGAAAACTGTGAATTAGAAAACAGAAAACTGTTAGAATTGATAAACCCGAGGCCTGGCTCTTTAAATAAACAAACCTTTAGCTATCTATGATAGGAAGCTTCCAAGATGGACCTCTACCTCCTACTTGTCACATCCTTTTGTAATTCCCTTCTTTTTTTTTTTTGTAATTCCCTTCTCTTGAGCATGGGCTGGACTTAGTAACTCCCTTTTAAGAAACAATACAGCAGATGTAACTTTACGATTTTTTAATAAAAGACCAGGCTTCTTTCTGGAATGCTCTGGCTCTCTCCATCTCTCTTAGATCACTCTCACTAAGGGAAGGAGGATGCCACGTTGCAAGCAGACCAAGGTCCACCGCTGTGGCAAGAAACTAAGACCCTTAGTCTAACAACCCCCAAGAACCTGAAAACTCAAGCAACTACATAATGAGCAGATACTTCAGGTCCAGTAAAATCTGGCAATACTGCAACATCATGAGAGACCACGGGCCACATCATGAGAGACCACAGGCCAGAAGCAGACTGCTAACCTGCTCCGAGATTCCTGACCCAAGGGAATTGTTTTAAATTTTAAGTGCTAAAATGTGGGACTGGTTATGCAGCAATAAGGGGCTTCCCTGGTGGCTCAAATGGTCAAGAATCTGCCTGCAATGCAGGACACCGGGGTTCGATCCCTGGGTTGGGAAGATGCCCTAGAGTAGGAAATGGCAACCCATTCTAGTATTCTTGCCTGGAGAATCTCATGGACAGATGAGCCTGGCAGGCTACTGTCCACTGAGTCACAAAACAGTTGGACATGACTGAGCAACTAAGCGTGCAATGCAACGCAAACAAGAGGATTAAGAAAGAAACAACAATGTACTAAGTTTAGCATTAAAAAAAGGAAATAAGCCAAATATGGGGAAAGCCAAAATTACAGAGAATACCTATGCTACTATATTTGAAAGTCTACAAGAAATTAACTATTCTCTACCGTCAGTTCCAATACCAAAATTGATCAGAGAAGATAAACCAAATCATGAGAGAAATTCACAAGCTGGAAAAGTGCTACTCTGGGAAAAAAAAAAAAAAGGTGGGAAAGGTAGAAAGCTTCTCTGGTGGGTTCATCCAAGTGGTTAAGAAACAATTACTTGTACTACTGCTCAGGAATACAAGAAAGCACGTTTGCAAACTGTTTTGAGGATAGTATAACACAACTGCAAAACCTAACAAAGACAGCTCAAAACTAAAAATAGAACAATTACAAAAATGGATACTGATGTAAAATCCTGAACACAATATTAGCAAAAACAAATCCTGATCACATTAAAAGAATACAGTACAGAACCAAATACAGTTCTTTTTGGAAATGTAAAGTTAACTCAGTAACAGAAAATTACTCACTTAGGTCAATGGAGAAAAAAATGTATGATCACAATAGACGTGAAAAATGCACATAATATAAAAGCCAATAAGCACAGTCTACAAAGACAAAGTAAAATGGTGGTTGCCAGAGGCTAGGAGAGTTGAAGTGTTATTGTCTAATGAGTGCAGCTTCACTTTGGGAAGATGAAAATGTTCTGGAGATAGATGGTGATGGCTGCACAATAGTGTGAAATGTACTTAATGCCACTGACTATACACTTAAAAATGGTTAAAATGGTAAATTATATATATGTAAGTTTCAAAACAATAAAAAAAAAACTTTAAAAATGTTTAAGTGTCTTGCCTATTACCCAGCCAGGCTCACCCCTGCCTAATTAATTTTGGAATCAATTTCTATTATTCTATAATTTTAAAAAGCAAAAAAATTAAAACGACCCAAGTAAAATGTTATTTTCCTCCAGCGGGGACTAAGAGACAAAGGACAAACTGACAACTTAGTTCAAGATTTCCTGCTTCCCTTTTAAGTCACCAAGAAATATAAAAAATAAATCTTTTCAGAAACAAACCTGAAGCTAAATCATCTACTTATAAATTATTTCTCAGATTTCTTGTGCTTAAGTGTCAAAACAAACACATTATTGAACTTCTCAAGTTTTTATGCAGTCTCTCTTCACAAAGTTAATTTTCTATGGAGTCTCCACAGTGTCTAACCAGCTTATTATGTATGGTCAGCACTGACAGAGGATGGAGAACTGGGCATACCAAAAATATCATTCTCCTGGGTAAACTATTTTTTAAAAGCCTTAATTCCCTAATGCATTAGTCTTTCATCTCTAAACATGAATGGTTATAAAACATTCATTACAGTTTACCACCTCTGAAGAGAAATTTGCTACATCATAGAGTTAGATGACTTGCTCTAGGACTTAAGACAGTGAGTCAGCTATACATCTGGGAAAATTCAAGAAGTGCCACCACCCAAGCTGGGTCTCACGTCTTTGTGGCCCTAACTGATTAAAAAAAGAAGAAGAAGAAGAAATGTACAAAAATAATGAAGGATCACCTAACTCAAAACAAAACAAAAAAATTTCTATGGTCAGATCTGATTTTTAACTCTGCCCATTTGTACTATTTTCCTGCATTTTGACATCAACCTGTTCCCTCAGACTAAAAAAAGACCAGGCTCCTCTGTCCACAGAATTCTCCAAGCAAGAATACTGGAATGGGTAGCCATTCCCTTCTTCAAGAGATCTTCCCGACCCAGGGATCAAACCCAGGTCTCCTGCATTGCAGGCAGGCAGATTCTTCACCATTTGAGCCACCAGAGGAAGCCCATTAATGCAATTTAATGAGCAACTGATATGAGGAGTCAAGATTTTCTTTGCCTTTTTAAAAAATATTTTTCAAAGTGAAAATACATACTTGGTGGAAAATTCAGCAATATGTTTGCTGAAAAGCAACGTTAAAACTAACATCAACTAAGATCAAAATTTCATCTTGCCAGAGTAGCTAAACTATGGTCTCTTACTTTAAGGGATAGCTGCTGTTATTGTTGTTTAGTCACTAAATTGTGTCCAACTCTTTCACCACCCCATAGACTGTAGCCCGCCAAGCTTCTCTGTCCATGGGATTTCCCAGGCAAGAATACTGGTACAGGTTGCAACTTCCTTCTCCAGGGGATCTTCCTAACTCAAAGACTGAACAGTGTCTCCTACATCACAGGCAGATTTCTCTCTTTTTTTCTTTTTCTCCCTCCACAGCTGGGCCACCAGGGAAGCCCCAAATTACAGCTACCTGGTGATTAAAAAGAAATGCAGTGGGGGAATGAAAGGATCAAGAGGGAGTGTGTATGTGTACTTACACACATACTTACGGCTCATTCACACTGTTGTATGACAGAAACCAACACAACATTATAAAGCAATTATACTCCAATTAAAAATAAAAATAAATAAAAAAGGAATGCAGGGTCTTCCCTGGCAGTCCAGGGATTAAGACTTTGCCTTCCAATACAGGGGATGCTGGTTTTGATCTTTGGTCCAGGAGCTAAGATCCCAACATGCCCTGGAGCCAAAACCCAAAACATAAGACAGAAGCAATATTATAACAAATTCAACCAAGAGTTTATAAAAAAGGTCCACACCAAAAAAAAAAAAACCTTAAAAAAAAAAAGGAATGCAGAAAATATGTAGATGCATGGTAAAAAGGTACTCCAACAACTTAATAAATTCAACTTGCAGATCTCTAAGTGTTAAACGTGTGTGTTTGTATTAAGATGCACACATTCTTGTAAAATTTCCAGCAGCAGGGTAAACAAGGGTTAACAGTGACTAACTTTAAGGTATAGGTCAGATAAGAGAGTTGTTTACTTTTCATTTTATGATCCTTCTACATGCTTCGAATTTTACATACCACCAACATGCACTCTTTTTTAAAAAAAGAGTCAAAAATTAAAATTATCTTACAGTTTAAAATTTTACTGAAAATCTCTTTGGTATTCACTCAATCTCCCAGAACTTACCACTTAGTTGACTTTCTGGTTTGGAGACTGAATATATATCTTCTTTAACTTTTTCGGATTCTTTTATCTTTATTCTGAAATGAAATTATTTTATCTTAATGTTCTAGATTCACATTCTCAAAAAAAGTTAAGTACGACAGCATAGGAAGTATCACTATCTTTGACACTTACCTTCCCTAAGCCTCACTGTGTGTGTGTGTTTTTTAAAGTAGTGACAAGTATCAATAGCTGCGGAGCAGCAGGAGAGGTATCACTGTAACTTGAAAATCCCCACCAATCTGTGACCAAATAAACTGTCACAAAGGACCTCTTTTTACAGAGTCAAGTACCTCGAAAACATTAGCCAACAATGGTGATGACGGAGCAAACCTTCACGGTCATGCTGGACTGCTGAGTGTTGGAAGGCAAGCAGCACTCATAGGAGTGAAAGATTATGCCAGTTAAAGATCACAAATCTTGATTTAGGTTATTCCCATCAGTACGTGTGTTCATCTCTCAGTTCTGCCACGTAAATGCTGAGAGTCCGGGGAGGTGTTTTATCCAGCACCTCTCACAACTGCCGTTTCACATCCGTAAGATGGGTATAACAACACCTACCCTGTTAATTCCGGTGAGAACGTCTGCCAGAGAAGGGGCTCAAAACACCAGAGCCCTTCCTTCACCTTCCCTTTCTCGAAGGTTTACGACAAATCCTTCCGGGCCTCTCTCCCCACGCGCCTCGGCGTCCCCCACTCCGACCCCCGAGAGGTCGCCCCTTTCCCCACCCCACCACAGAGGGCCTTCTCTCTCACGGAAATGCAGCTCCATCCCGGCGGGAGAGAAAACAAGGTTCCCCCAACTCTTCACCCGGGACAAGAGGGAAGAGACGCAGGACCCATGCCAGCCCTCTGAATTACCAAGCCTCAGACACAAGCAAAGAGGAGGGCACCACAGCCGCCTTTTCGGACCGAAGAAAAGCTCCTTAAACTCACCGTGAGGACGGGAAACCGGGCAACTCCACTAGCAGCGGCAGAGCGGCACGGCCTCCGGACGGATGCTGAGGGCTGCTTGGCGTCCCCGCCCTCCTCCGCCCTGAGGCCTTCAGGTGCTCAGAAGAGGCGGAGCTCGGGCGCCTCATGACGCAGGCGCAGTCTCCCGGCAACCTTCAATTGCGTAGCCTCAGCCAATGAGAAAGAGCGCGGGGCCGTGGTTCAAAAGTAAACTGCCCACAGCTGGGGCTGAAGCGGGGGCGTGGTCGTTGGGGCTCCGGTCGAGGCCGGCGGCGAGCGTTCCGCGCCTGCGCACTAGGAGCGGGTGCAGCTCGGGAGCGGGTGCAGCTCGGGAGCGGGTGCAGCCCTGGCGCTGCCGAGGCGTGCCTCAGGGTGGCTTCAGTGGGCGGGGGCGCTTCTGGCTGCCGTGAGTCTGGCCTGGAGTCCTTGGGGCCTCTGGATGGCGTCCCGGGAGAGGCGGGGCCTGGCGGAGGCGGAAGATTTCTACAAAAGATTCGTAGAACTACTTCTATTTTTTATTTTAACGTGGAGCCAAGTCGGCACGTCCTAATTCTAGACCTTAAAGCGCAGCGTCTTCCGTCGTGACTTCATAGGTTCCCAGCACCCTGAGGCGTCCTGAGTGCACAAGCACCCCAGTGAGCGAGCGCCATCCTCGCCTGAGCTCGGCTTTGCTTTTGTTTACAGCATCTGGAGACACAAACCCATCAGAATACTTCTTTCCGTATAGGAGAGGGCTTCTGATGACTGGGAATTTTCTTGTACTTAAAGAGAACTAACTCTGAGGGGTAGTGGGACCTTAAGACTCATAGGACCATTTCCCTCCATCTTGGCCTACTCCTCTTCGTCTCGCCTCCGCCGCCTCTCCACGATACGAAATCGTTGTCTAGAGGTGACTATTGCACAGAATTCCTGATTTCCAATTTAATTTCTCCGCCAAATTCCTATTTCACTTTCTTAACCCCTAGAGTCACAAAACAAACAGTTCAGTCCTTTCTCTTTTTCTTAAGAAACTTTATCCAACTATATCTCAAGATACACCCTCATCACACTTCCCTCTAAAATGTAGTTAGAAGTTTTTTATTGTGGTAAGTAAAGCTGTGAACCTCAATATACTCTGTATTGCTAGTACTTTCAGATCTTAGACTCATATAGTAAATTACAGAAAAAATATTAAACAATAAAATTTAGTATCAGTGAGTCCTGAGTTAATCTCAGATGTCTTCACCAGTTTTAACTACTGAAAGGGTTACTTAGGTTGTGTGAATTCCAGTGCTATCCAAGCTATCTGCTGTTACATGGTGACATATATCCATTTAAACTTTGCTATGTACATAGCTGAAGTTTCTCTTGCAACGTTGGAATCATTCTGATACAGTTTTTAACTTGCTGTGGAAATAATATGTTGTGAATATTTTCCCATGGCTATAAATGTAACATATTTCTATAAAACTATTCTCTTTTGGAAAAAAAAGTGTAAGGGTGATGTTAACAATGGACTTTGGGTGGTAATGATGTGTCCGTGTAAATCCACCACTTGTAACAAATCTACCGCTCTAGTGGAGGATGTTGATAATGGAGGAGACTATGCATGAGGGCAGGGGGTCGGGGCGGGCAGAAAATAATAATATATGGGAAGTCTCTGTACCTGCCCTTTGATTTTGCTGTGAACCTAAAACTGCACTTAAAAAAAGACAGTCTTTTTTTTTTTTTAAGTGTAATTCTGCTACTGCTGCTGCTGCTAAGTCGCTTCAGTATTGTCTGACTCTGTGGGACCCCATAGATGGCAGCCCTGGGATTCTCCAGGCAAGAACACTGGAGTGGGTTGCCATTTCCTTCTCCAGTGCATGAAAGTGAAAAGTGAAAGGGAAGTTGCTCAGTCACGTCCGACTCAGCTACCCCATGCACTGCAGCCTACCAAGCTCCTCCGTCCATGGGATTTTCCAGGCAAGAGTACTGGAGTGGGGTGCCGTTTCTTTCTCCTATAATTGCCTCTAGAATGAATGAATATGACTGATTAATGCTTTGAGCTCTAATTTTTTCCACTTGTGTTTTCCCCTTCCCTTCCTTACCTAAAGAATTATGTATGTAGCAAGAAATCGGAAGTAATCTCTCCCTCGACTTATCTGGCTTTTGTTTTCCAAAAGCCTCAATCCACTGAGGTAAATAACATTTGAGAGAAGAGGCTGAATGTTTGGGAGAAGTAAAAAGAAGCCCCCAAATAAAGATGAATCAGGTCCTAGTGGAAGGAAGGTATGAAACCTGAAAGGAAGGGCTACTTCTGTTTCTACAAAGAGACTGGCTTAGAGGCCCGTGGATTCCCAACTTGATCAAAGATTTCTATAACCAGCATGATCAGAGAGATACAGGAGCCTACAAAAACAGTGGCAGTCTCAGCAGCACAGTCCACTTGATATACTGTGGTTTGTGGACTGTGATACATGCGTGTTACAGAATATAATGTTTGCCTGGAAAGGATGGACAGAAAGATAACTCTCAGATGCAGAAGTACATGCTCAAAATCCATAAGGTTAAAAATCTGAGGTGCTTAGGACATGGAAGCAATGTGGATGTCCATCAATAGATGAAGGGATACAGAAATTGTGTTACATGTATATAATAGAGTATTACTCAGCTATAAAAAAGTGCCTTTGTGTCAGTCCTAATGAGGTGGATGAACCTAGAGCCTATTATACAGGATGAAGTAAGTCAGAAAGAGAAAGACAAATGTTATATATTAATGCATACATATGGAATCTAGAAAGATGATATTGATGAAACTATTTGCAGGGCAGCAGTGGAGACATAGACATAGAGAACAGACTTGAGGACACAGTGTGGGGAGGGGAGGGTGGAGCAGATTGAGAGGTTGGCGTGGAAACCTATATGTTACCATATGTAAAACGGATGGCAGGTGGGAATTTGCTGTGTGATTCAGGAAGCTCAACCCAGAGCTCTGGACAATCTAGAAGTGGGGGATGGGGAGGGAAATGGGAGTGGGGTTCAGGAGGGAGGGGGCATGTGTATACCTGTGGTTGATTCAGGTGGATATATGGCAGAAACCAACACAATATTATAAAGCAATTATCCTCCAATTAAAAAAGGTTTAAATAAATCTGAGGTGATAAAGTGCTCAGCTACCCCAGAAAAAGGTGGGGAGGGAGTAAGTTCAGCTGCTTTGGGTGTATGCTTATATACTTGCAACAATCTCCTTTTGATAGAATATAGGGAAAGGGTAAAAGATGAGAAATTTTTTGCAGTTATTCACCGGTGATACAAAAAGGAGGCAATAAAGCCCGAATTTTATGACAAACGTTGGTGCTCAGGTCAGACTCCTGACTTAGACATTCTCTGTCTCAAGAAACAAAAGAGGAGGCCTCAGTGACAAGAACGTGCCCTGTAAGCAAGCTAAACACTCTTTGATTTGGGGTTTTAATAGCTACCAAGTTTAAATACCCCTCTGTTGTCTCCCATCACGTCGACCTCACAGAATCATACAGTCAAGAGAATGTAAGGCTTTCCGAATTATAAGGCACCTGAGGTTGTTCATATCTAGGACATCAGAGAAAGCACAGCCGCTGCTGGTGCCGTGATTACAGTGGCAGTGAACAAGGGCAATGAACTAAGAGAACTTAGCGAACAGTTTTGAGGTCATTCTATCTGGAAATAAAAAAGCATTCAGGGGGTTTTCCTGGTGGTCCAGTGGTTAAGAATTCACCTTCCACTGCAGGAGACAAGGTTTGGGAAGATCCCACAGGCCTCAGGGCAACTAAGCCCATGCGCCACAACTACTGAGGCCCACGTGCCTGGAGCTCTTGCTCTGCAATCAGAGAAGCAACCACAATGAGAAGCCCACGTACACTGACGAGAGAGTAGCTCCCGCATGCTGCAACAAGAGAAAGCCCGTGTGCAGTCACAAAGACCCAGTGCAGGCAAAAAAAAATTTTTTTCTTAATGTAGTTCCATTTTTTAAAAAATGTCCTAACTAGAGACAGGAGGGACTGAGGTAATAGGAGTGTGGGGGTGGGGGGAGCAGAAAAGAAGCAATTCAGAAATGGCCAACCTTGTACCTTCCCCAGGAGTCCGCAACCCTCCTGTAGCAGGCCTTACCTCCTTACCTGAGGGGGAGGCAGTACCGTGGCTTCAGCAAAGTTAGAAGCTTAGACAGTGGGACTAATTTCTAAAATGAAACTGTGTTCTGCAATTTAAAGAAGTCTCAGGACTTTGCTGCGTTCCCCAACAGTGATCAAAGAAATCAGGTCTCCTGGCATTGTTATCCAGGATCAAGGGAAGAACTTTCTGCATGGAGTATATTATAAAGGAACCATGGAAGAACCATGGAAGAACAGAATTAAAGATGCTATGGAGTTGATATGTTCTTGTCAAAATTACCAGTTATATTGTGTTGAAAACAAAAGTCCCAACCTCTACCACCTGCCGATGAACAGTGGGAGATCTATTATTCTTAAACAAAAAGATGTTTGTTATAGTGAGACAATGTTGGCAGAGATGGGGCCCAGCTCGTGACGGCTTCAGCAGACGGCCACTGTTCACCACTGCCCCGCCTCGTTTCACAGACCCTCTCCTCTGACTCTTCTCCCAATGGAGCCAAACAGTCTATTCACGTTCCTGTGTCAAGTAGCTTAGACATTTCTTATTAGATAAGCTCCTGACTTCCCTACTCACAGGGTCAAGTTATTTTTCCTAAAATGAATAATAAAACATTCTTTCTCTACCAGAGATTCTGGCATCAATTGAAGAGACTCTATACTTTTCATTCTGCACCCACTTGATAGCAACCAAAATGAGTTGTGCATTTATAAAGATAATCTGCTGTGTGCGTTTAGAATGATAATCTTTTCAGCAAAAATTTCATAGCATTCAAAAACACAAAACTCACATGGATGGTGAGAATTTTGCTTGACTACAGTTCAATACTTCTGGCTCCTAGTGGTTATTAGGCAGTTATAAGTTTCATATTCACTCACAACTTCTGAATTCTTATGCACAAAGTTTACTCAGTTCAGTTGTAGCGCTGACAGAAGTAGGTGGTGTCAGGTCAGCAGCCAGATTACCAACAATGATTTATGTGGTGACATTTCCAACAAGACAAGGCTCTGTGTTTCATAAAACTGGGAAGCTTTCTATAACTTAAAATTA